TGTTGTTGTTGTTGTTGTTGTAGTCACCGTAACAGTAGTAATTAGTAGTAGTAGTAGTAGTAGTAGTAGTAGCAGTAGTAGTAGTAGTAGTAGTAGTAGTAGTAGTTGTAGTAGTAGTGGTAGTGGTAGTGGTAGTAGTAGTCCTAGTACTACGGTTGATGATATAAACCCTGCATTACCCACAATAAGGAATATACCATACTTCCCATAGTGTTGGGTCCTGTGTGGTAATGCCGGATAATATCATCAACAGTAGTACTGGTTCTCGTACTTGTACTAATTAGCAGTAGGAGGGAGCAGGAGTTGGACTCAGTAGCAGTAGCAGTGGCAGTGGCAGTGGCAGCAGCAGCAGCAGCACGAGGAGGGTTGAGGGAAGGGGAGCAGTGCAGGGTCTTTGGCAGACGAGCCGGGGTTTGGGGGAGCTGTGGATTGTGCGGAACTTTGGCACCACCTGAGGAATCACGACACTTCCAAGCCGGAAAATCCGCTGTTCCTCTTCTACTCCTTTCACCTGCTCCACACGCCCCTGCAGGCTTTGGCAAGCCCAATGTTGGTCTGCGCGCGATCTCTCCGTCTCTCTCCTTCTCTTGCGCGCTCTTGTGGGTGTTTTGATCTCCAGGTGCCCAAAGCCTGGCTCGAGAAGCTGGATGCCTTAGTTTCTGCGGCAGGGGGCAAGCCGATTGACAGTGAGAACAGGCTCGGCATGACTCCGAAGAGCTCCTGGCTTTGCGTGTGGGATCCAGTGATTGGAACCCGTGACCGCCTTTGGCACCCAATCTGCAGGCGACTGTATGCCGCAATGACCCTGTACATGGATGCCGCCATCGGCGAGGCTGTCGATGCACTGAAGCAGAAGAAAATGTACGCATTTTGGCAGCATCCCACCAGCTGTTACCCAAGCAGAATCCATCTTCAGAATTCTAGTGTTTTGCTGACTGACAGCTCCTTTGACAGTGTCTGGTCCCACTGACCTAGCCCCTTCTTCCACAGGTCGTGATTAAGACTTTGTTGCTTGCAGCTGTGTGTCCAAGCCCAGACGGGAAACAGGAAATGTATCAATTAGGGATTTCAGCTCAAGGACAACACGCTGATCATTTTCACTTCGGACAATGGTGGCCCCATCTACGAGCCCGGCGCTGCTTCCAATCATCCTTTGCTAGGCTGAGGGATCAGTTTGACTCGAAACGCCATGGTCTCGCATCCGTTCGCATGCCCTGACAGGTGGCAAGTATACCGATTGGGAGGGTGGTGTGCGCACAAATGCTTGGGTTTCGGGTGGATTTGTGCCTGCGAAAAGGCAGGGAAAGCCTTGAGCGTCCCGCAGCTTGTGTGGAATGAACGTCCGAGAAGCGTCCGTGCTTTCCTAGCAGGCGTGGGGCAAAATACAACGGCATCATCAATGTCGCTGACTGGTATCTCGGGTCGAGAATTTCTATACAGGTATAGTACAGGACAATGCTGGTACTTGTCACCTGAAGTCCTTGACATGCCAGTTGAGGTATGGTACACTCACGCAGTTGGCGGGCGTTGACATGACGGATCACAAATCCGATAAGGCCAATCAATTCCTAAAGGAGAGTCCCGGCCAAAATGCCTTCTTTTTGTGGTGCTGCAGCCACTGTCCAGCAACATGGCATCGCACATTGTCATGGTCTCAGGAAGGGCTTGCCGCTGCTTCATCCAGTGGAGAGTATGCCGCAATGGCGACCTGGACTTGTACGCTTGAGCATGTTCTGTGAGGGTCCTTGCGCACCAACAGAGTGTGCCCAGCATGATGGCGCAGTATCTTGCCTTCTTGCTCAGGGGGAACATTGTCGATGACAAGCCTGGTCGCACAGGGCCGATGCATCTCAGCTCTCAGGCCGTGCTGCGGTGGCCGTTCAAACTGGTGACAGGCCCGGCCGGCCCCGGCCGACTCTGATGGACTGACTCTCCCTGTCCCGTGAAGGCAAGCAGGTGATGAGCACCTGGCAGGGGCCGCTTTATCCGAACTGCTCTACGGTGCACTCGATGAAGCGCCTGGACGCAGCATGACAAGAGTGTGAAAACGCTGCACGGTGTGCTTTTTTGTGTTCTGCAATTCAAGGAACCGCAACGGGCCTCTGCCGCCACAACAAGATGTGAAGGTCCAGAGTTTGCTAGAAGAGCACAGATTCTGCAGCAGCGCTTGCGTGTCCCTGACTTGGCACGAAGCCTGGACCAGGTTTTTGGAGAGCCTATGCCGGTTGCCGAATCGCAGGCGGATGCGCTCTTGAACATGCATCATCAGTGTGTCGCCGTCAAGCACAGGCCGAAATCGACAGACAGACCTGGACCTTCGACTGCGGGGCAGGCTGCCTAGTGATGCTTGGCATGAAACCCGCATAGAGTCTCCCTCAGTGGAAGTCAGCAACCGTGCACACGTCGCTAGGAATGTCGAGGAGGATCCGACTGAGCACATCAACCT